GTTGAAGATGAAACCTATAGTTGCACTGAGCTGGTAATACATAACTAAGTAAAGTACATTTAAGTTTGCAAAGCAAGTTTTCCACTTTTTCTATCACAATGTCAGTTATTCTATTTCAGAACTGGGATCAATTTCCCTGATCTGCTTGCTGACATTCAATACTTTGCACAGCACAGAGCAGGACATGCTTTCAGATTTGACATCTGCCCACAAAACCCTGATTTCAATACATTTACCCTAACACTTTCACCCCTAAAAGTTTCAATTGTAAGGAATTTAAGAGACTATTTCCTTAAAGAAAATACATTGTACTTGCCTATTAAGCTGTAGAGATAACAAAGACACAACAATTTGCTCATATAAAGCCCGAGTTGTGAAATTCAGGAAGTAGCCACTACTTTGGAGAGAAAGATGCTCATTTAATGCCGTAAAATGCTTTGGAAATTGAAATTATTTGGAAAGCATGGTCCATTTAAGATCATATCGGTACAGATACTAAAGTTGCCAAAGTGAAAAAAAAAAAAAAAAAAAAAAAAAACCCAAAAACTAATGACTTCAAATGAAAAGTTTGTAAACAAAAGCACTTCCTTATTTAGACCATCATTTTGTCATAATCTCCTAGCTAGCAGAAATAAATTACAGTTATTTTGGCACTTTTCTCCCCCCCCTATTTTTGTTGTTTGAAGGAGATGTGTAACATCATAGCCTACATTAATCCTATACTATATTCAACATGATAATAACGTCTGAAAGGTTAGGATAAACAGGATGTAAGAGGAAAAACATCACTTCAATATCTATAATTTATTGTATAAGATGAAGAACACAAAGAATACTATTGAAAAGAATAAGATTTTTTGACCTTCAGCTAACCCTAGAATTCTGTGCCTAAGCACAAAGACTGGATAAAGTCCACATATAAATAAAGAAATATAGTAGTTACAAAGGTTTCTCTCTTTACTGTGATTAACAGTTCAGAGTCAGGCTGTGCCTGATTCTTGCACAAATATTTTCTAAACCATTTTATTTTTCTATGTGTACCATAGAAGTAAGTTTGCCAATGAGGAGTAAGAAACAAACATTTTGAATAGCTTGAAATCTGTAGAAATACTTGCATCTGGGTACTTTTTTTTTTTTTTGGTCTACTTAAAAGAGATATTAAAACTCATCAGAATCTAAACAAATCAAATCCATTATATATAAATATATAAAGTGGTTCAGAAATTGAACATAAGCAGGTATCTGAGAAATTTTGAAACAGAGTGCCTACAGCACTCCTAGAACAACAACAAAAAATCCCTCAAGTTATCTTGCTTTCCTACTTTAATGAGTAAAAGATCTAAAAAAAATGCTATGCCAGTTTGAAATAAATAAGTTGCAAAGGAAGATTAATACGGCCATCTAGAGGACAAAAGAATGATGTGAAAGCATGCTACACATTTTCAGACTTCAGAATAAGACATTTTTAGAGATACATGGACAGAAAACGCATGCAGTGAAGTAATAGATAGTGAGTGAATTTTAAAATAATTTGATTGGACATGGTGGTGGTATACATTAGAAATGCTTTGAGCAAGGTGAGGAAAGTTCTTAATACAAGGTATATTAAGAAAGAAAAGATTATATTTTTGTCTCACGTAAAATATTGTGTGTGCACTGTTAAGTGCAGGCATGTCTAAAAAATTATCAGGCTTTCAAAGTGGAGACTGCTGTGCACAATAAACTGCAAAATCAGAAAAAAAATACATTGACTCCTTTGTAAACACACAGCACACTATTGCTAAATACAACTGTAATAAACTACTGAAGAGAGGATAATACAGAACTTTCTGAAAATGAAATATCCTGCTTTAACCACTCATATTACTCTCTCCAGTGGCATTTTTAATTCCACAAGAATTGATGAGAAGGAAGAAAACAGCAATGAGAAAAAAATTCTCTCATCACTGTACTGCAGTATTATCAAGCCCTGGTCAGCAAGCAGCATGACTGGTGCCTTTGGTTGGCAGTGCAGCTTAAATGTTTGAGTCTCAGAAATAAAAATGATTAAGCACATATAACAAAACAGAAGACTGCAAACACCATGCATACTGGCTGTTGTTTCTCATGTTAAATAAAGTATATAAGAAAACTTTGCCTTTCTTGTAATTGCAAATAAAGAAATAGTTCTATCATTTGTCTTTAAACTTCTTATAAAAATACAATAATTTAATGAAAAATCTCAAGTTTCCTATGGCATCAAATCTCATAGATTTAAGCCACAACCTTAAAAAACAATAAAACTTTGAATTTTAAAAAATTACATGAAAACACTGAAAATGGTGATGCTCTCCACTTGCAACAAGAGATTTTTAACCTCATCTGATACGTAAAGTGTTTCTCTGAATACACATGAGCTCCTTGGTAGCATTGGTCAGTTCCTTCTTTCTTCTTTTTTCACTGCATGCTTTCTTTTCATTCAAGTCCTTGGCTGGGCAGCTTTTCCTCCATTACGTACTTGACACAACCAGGCCTACTCTGGCTACACTCTGGCATCAAGGCCTACTTCAGTCTAGCTGTGTTTAAATTTTATAATTGTGCAACGATTCTTGGTGTGTGACTCAAAGAACAAAAAAATATACTAATTACTCTACTGTGCCACCTTCAGGTCATGGAAAAGTGAAAAATATTTGGTTAACTTGTTGCCAAGCCCAATATCACGCAACATTATTATTTTTTAAATACTATCAAACATCTTTTGTTGAGATTAAATGATTCCAAAAACGAGTCACAATCATCAGTCTCATTTGAGAGCATTTTGAAAGCAATCTTGCACAGATTTTTGCAAATGCAGAATGATTGCAGGCAATCAGATAATACTGCTGACGTTGGAAGAGAACGAATGCTATCAAGAAGTAGCAAAAGTAAAATACAGACAGTACTAAAGCTGTTTGAAAGCATGTGGTTAAAAATGTACAATTTTCTAAGTTAGGGTGTAAGTTATGATAGCTTTTGCTTCCTTCTTTTCGCCTCCCCAAACCCTAACCGTTCTTTCATTATAATAAATTCAATTTACATGCTAATTTTAGAGCAAGTGTGTGTGTACATTATATATAAATGAGTTTTGCATCTAGCAAGCTTCCTGAATGGAAACTGTTGAGAAGGGATAGCAACTGGTAAAAGATATATTTAGCAAGAGAAGGAAGAAAAAAAGAAAAAAAAGAAGGAAGAAAAAAAAAAGAGGAGTGAAACAATTGTTAGTTTCTTGCTGCATTTGCCAACAGGGTTCTTCTGCCTTACAGTCTAACTATAATAAAGATTTCCAGCCTGGAATTTTTAATCCCCAGGAGATGACAAAATCACTGAGTGTGAATTTTGACTATGTGGGAGGATGACAAAAAGACAACTATTAAACATCACAACAAAAGTAGATACATGCTAAGACAATGCTACTGGAGCTTAACTTCAACAGGGCCAAACTGAAAAGCTCAGATGAGTGAGAACACTGTGTGATGAACTACGTACGATCAGTATTCTGTACAGCTGTGAAATACAAAGAGGAATGCCACACGTTCCTTTAAGCATGAATATTTCAACAAGTGACCTCAACAGTCTGAAAACTGATAAATACCTCACTCTGGATAACCAAGCGTTCTTACAGAATCTAATAAATAGAACTGAACTTTCCATCTCCTGCTGATATATATCACCATTCTATACCAACAAGGACATCAGCTGTAAAAGTAAGTATCTTTCACATTTATCTCAACAGTACTGCCAATAGATATCAGTGGGCATTAAAAAACACTATTAGGAAAACAACCCCCACCCAGAAAGCAAAATACTTCTATCATCCCCTCATGCTTGTTGCCCCCATAACCTGATCTCTCTTCCGCATCTCCTTCCCTGATTGCTGGAATGCTGTCTCCTGCCTTCCTACAAGTTAACAGCAAAGAAAAAAACTGAAAATCCTCATAATCAGAAAATAATTTTCATATTCTGCAACTTATTTGCCTAGGAATGCCATGTCCTTTGTGTCTTAATCACAGGAATCATGAGTGAGCATGAGCTAATTTCAAACTTCAAACAAGTGACAAGCAAACTTTTATATAATTGAATTACAACACATAATACAAAGACTACCTTTTTTCAAGTTCTCCTGGACTGGATGCAATGTTTAAATGTAGACTTTTTTATTACAGGTGTCCACTTTTTACTAGAAAATACCACTCTCTAAAACACACTGCATTTCAACATATTGAAAGGAGTCCAGCACTTATCTTACCATAATACAGTACCTATATTACAGCCTGACTTATGAACACCTTTAACTAAGCTCAGTTTTTGCATTAGAAAACGACTACAGATACAGTTCTCCCATGCAGCTATTTTCAAGCACAAGAAGCATATTGATTAAATATTGATAGCAGATTTTTCAACCTCTGTATCAGGCAGTTGCTGTCACTCTTAGTTAAAATCTTAAGATATGTAACACAAAAGAAAACATTCTTTTGTTTACATTGAGCTATTACCTCCATAGAAAATTCAGATTAATCAAATCATTTCTTTCTGTGATATCAATAGAAAAGATGAAGAACATTCCATTACTTGATAGTGAAATATGCATGTGCACCAGAACCAATAACCAACTCAGTTTACTCGCTGTTATGACAGCTTATGAAGAAAGGCATATCAGCTATTGATAATATCACTGAATCCATCAAGAGTACCCACATTTCCTTCCTAAACAAAAAAACAATTTAAAGTAAATCCCTCAGAGGATATGATGACTATTAATAAAATTCTACAAAACTTCATTTAAGATATTATATCATTTGCAGTATTGCTGGAAATGTGCAAACAATTTGATGCTAATTTTTTTTGGAGCATGCATAAATACAAAAGATACCTGAATGTTTCTTGCTGACATTGATTATTTGCAAATCAAGCTTTTTCTGTCTAAACTTAACAACATAATTCTGAAATCTGGAATAAAATGAATTCTTTTAAATCAATCTTACCTTCATCTATTGAGGCTTCACTACTGTATCCATCATATTCTGCAGACAGGGGGCTATATTTTTGCCTGGTTTCCCATACATAGTTTTTTTGCTGTCTGCCATCCACCACTGGCAGCCTGGAACTCTGGGTTCTAGACAGGGCCTCATGATATTTACCCAGTGCTTCATCTTCACTCTCAGATGATGAACCATGCTGATCTTTACTCATATAAGAGTTGTCTGTTTGAATAAAATACAGCAAATCTACTACAGCTCAAAACAGAATACAAGAAAATAACCATAAGTGGTTATCACTGAAGATATTTAAGAAACTTCAATTAAAAATTTTGTAATATTTTAAAAAATATCATCTCGCTGTAATTTGACATATTACATGATTTTGTAATTTAAGGGCGTTGTGGGTTTTTTTTTTTTTAAATACAAAACCTGAAAGATCTTTAAGCCTCCAAATTATCTGAAAATATATTTAGTAGAAAACAGATCCATCTTTGTAAGGCAGTATACACTGAAGTTCTTGAAACTCTCCATTAAGGAAGAAAATTCTCAAAGTGTTTTTCATGAAGTAAATTCAAGGTTTCTTCACTATCACATTTGGATACCTAACTTATCAAAAAAGGCAAATTTTGATGCACCATCCCCAATTGAGTTTTTCTGTGAGAATGCAGTATGAAATAGAAATGAAAATGATTTACAAGTAGAAATGAAAATGATTTACAAAGCCTACAACAAAGCCATTTTAGGATATTTATGTTAGTAATGCTTAAACTCATGACAACAAATGGCAAAATGTCAGTAACAGATGTTCACATGCACAATTTTATTTAACTTACAATAAACAGCCCCTTGCTCAATAACTGAAATTAAAGCAGATTCTAAGACACTGGGCAACAGCTAAAGGTGCTCAGAGGAAATTGCCTAGTTGATTTTCTTATTCCAGTTTCACTACAGTGCCCATGCCAGTGGCCAACTTTATCCAGCTACTTCTCTCAAGTATAGATTCCATCACAATTAGAATTCACAATTAGTGCTTGTATTTTACTTCGGTAAAGGAAAGTCTCCTCCTCCCTTTTCCAAATTTCAAATGGGTTCTGTACAAATCTGACATGCTATCCTTAGTTCTGTAGATCTCAAATTCTAACAGGCATTGAAAGTGCACACATAAGCTCAGTAATGTTCAGCATTACTACTCTATGTGAGAAAGTCTACAGTATAAGATTTGTCAAAGATTTTCATTACGTACTGAATACAGAACTCCAGGATGTCCATAGTGCTGTTGTTCAAGGGATATTGTTTAATATGTGGTCCTACTAAGATGAGCTACTCCCCTTCCTCCTATTATGCCCCCCTCCTAGCCCTTGTCCAGCCCCATTTCAGCTCCAATTAGTTCCTGTCTTCACCACCAGCCAGTCTCACTCCTCCTTCTGTGCATTTGAACCAAAGAGATTCAGCTTATTCAGAACTCAGGCACTTGAAACTTGACTAATTCAACCTGCACTAGCCATCTACACCTCTTTTACAGCCAAGCTTTTTACTCTTCTTTCCTACCACAAAGGTTCTTCCTTCCCGCTTTTATCAAAGCCTGTAAGAGTAGATGAACAAGATCACTTCCCAGAGATACGCCTTTGATACAGGAAAAGTAAATTCCCACATTTCAAGTCATACAGTATACAGGAGTGCCAAAGCTGTTTTTCCATACTGGAAACAGCTAAATTATTTCAACTATGGCTTGCAAAGCAAAGCAAAATTAGAAAACAACAAAAACAAAAACCAACACAAACACACATACACACACACACAAAAAGCCCAACAGCTTCACCTCGGAGAGAAAGCATGCCAAATTTCACCCCAAGTCTTTCAGATCTGGAACATAATTATAAGCAACTGGAATTAATGTCATGAAATGGAAAATGTCAGGAAACCTTAACTGCAGATGGTGCCACCAACTTCACATACAATGTATGTATATTAATTCAACATTTGTTGGAAAACCGATGCCTTAAAAGACTTCAGGCTATCAATTTCAATTCAAGTCTGACAAGTACAGTGATTCCCACTGTATGGACAGCTCTATAAGCAAGTTCCATTCCACTGTTCATTTGTTGAGAATAACACTCCAAGCTGGATATATTCTAGCTGGCAGATCCACTACCAGTTTGCTCAGAAGAAAGCACCTCCTTCAATGCTACACAGAGTAAAATCTTGTATCTCATATGACTCTCATGAGGATCTCCGTTGCTGTAAGTAAAACAGGGCATGCCAAGACTCAGACATAATGCCAGTCATCAGTATCAGGTACATCATTTATCGTATTTGCAAATATGAAAATTGGTTCATTAGTCAAAATAAAGTACCAAAAATTGAACAGTTTAAAAGATGTTAGCGGCATATTCAAAACAAGAGCTGAAAGATACACCACTAAAACTACATCAAAGCTTGTAAGCATCCAGAGGTTATCAGTGATATCAGAAACTTTTTGCTCCAGTTAGCAGCATAACAGAACAAAAAAGGAGAGGATGTATACTACTAATACAGGACGTGAAAAAAGACTTCTTCAGAGGACTTAAGAACCCACTTAGAGTTAAGACACAAGCTATTCATGGAACCATTTTTTAAATAAACAATGCAGATGTTTCAGTTTCTTTAAAAAAAAAAAAAATTAGCTCACTGCAACATGAAAATAAAAAATCCTCCAGGTTTTACGCCTCTCCTTGCCACTTGTCCTACAATTTTTATCTTAGTTGGAAAGCTGCCTAAATAGACTGCATATTCTTATTAAAGACCTTCATTCGTTTGGCTAATAGTACATATACCATTATTAAACTATTGACACCTATTTATTTACAGCAAAGGCAACTTTCAATAGAGAACATACTACTTCACAAACATTGTTTCATGAGGTATCAACAGATAGCATCACAGTTTATCATACAAATACACTAATCACCTACTAAATCAAGCAAACAAAAAATTAATAGCTGAAGTTTTCAGACAAAGAAACAAACATACACTAAAAAAAAAAAAAACAAAAAAAACCTTTCCTGATCAGTTTATTCATTTCTCCGCTAAAATATCTCCAGACATTTTACGTTCCGTTCTAAAATTTCATTGCACGGCCTGTAAAAGAGTTTTGTAAAAATGTAAGATTTCACTTCTTGCTCATGAGCTTTCATCACAACCCTTTCGTCATAATGTTTAAAATTAGATGTTGAAGACAGCACACACGGCATCCATATCAACAATATACAGGTTTTCTCTGTAAGACTATAACTTTCTTTAAGACAAGCCTTGCTCAGTTCCTTTTTGACTTAAAATCACTTAATTGCCACTTGTCATTCATTCTGCCTCAAAATTATGTTACATTTGCTGGAAATACATTCTGAAGATCCAGTATAATGCCAATGTAACAGAAGTTCAATTTTTCCCCTCTGTCATCTTTTCACATTTTATGCAATGTTTTTAAAATATGCAAAACAAATTGTGCAACAGAACAGGTCTTAATTTCCAGTATTAATTAATCCCTAGTTTTCATCAGAAATCACACAAGAAAACTGAGGAAATGCAAGACAAACTGTATACAGAAAAAGTTAGAATATAGGAAAGACATTTCTTAGTCAGTTCCTTCGACTAATACTTGAAGAGTAATTAACTTCCAAGAGATATCAGTATAATTACAGAATAAAGCCCTGACAAAACAGACCTACTTTCATCCATGGGAAACATCAATATTAAAGTGAAATGTGTAAGTTAGGTGAAAAAAGTAGGAAGTACCATAAGTTTCAGGAAAGGCTGAAGAATGCAGTTTCCTGACAGACTTCTCACCTTTTCCTGCTGTCTTCTTATTACACAGCCCTCGTGATTTCTTTTCTGATTTCTTTGAGTTTTTCTTGTTACCTACTTTTGCAACAGTAGGTGACGCATCACCTTCAGATTTTTCTTTTCTGTCAGAAAAGGCTTCAGACTTCTCTTTGACTTCATTAATGCAACTGGGGAGATTATTGTATATCTTCAAACTGGAGTCTGATAATTTTTGCTTCTGTACTTCAACAAATTTTGTTTCTAAATCTCGAGGAACATTCATACCATGCACTTCTTCAGAGTCATTACAATCAATTCCATGAGAACATGGCTTGATTTTGTTATGCCAGTGATTCTTAGAATTATTAGGTATTGTATGTAGGCAACTGCCTTGATTCTCAATAGACTCCTGCATTGTAAATTTATTACTTTTCAGGCTACTATCCTTCAGTAACTTATCATTTTCTAAATAGTCATTTCCTCCTACTACTTCCCTCTTAAGAGGTCTTCCCGCATTCTTAAAATACCAAGGTACTTCTGTATCTTCTAAGCAATCATCACTATCTTTGCCTTTTAATAGGTACTGGTTTTCACCCACAACATGGTTGAATACTCCATCTTGATTTCTGTCTTCAAAGGAATTGGAATACTGAATCTCCTTCTGTTCTGCAATATCCCTCTTGGCTTTAATATTAATTTCCTTAGGCTCAGTTAACCATGGTGCATTTTCTTCTCTATCTTCTGCTGGTTTATCATTCCGCATTTTGGAGCTCTCATCTTCTGCACGAAGGCCATTTATCATGTTTGTTACCTGTTCTGTTACTGAATCAGCTACACTATAGCCAACTTCTCCAACAACACTGGTCAGATCATCCACAGCACTGCTAAGAGTGTCCACCAGAGAAGACACAGAAGGAAGGCTCAGATTTTGGTGGAAGTTTCTGAAAAATGCCATTTTTTCCAATCTACTCAGCAGAAAAAAAGAAAAAAAAAATTGCACAGGAAGATCTTCTGTTTCATAAACAGATCAACTCCATTTCTTCGAGTTCTATTTCATAGCTATTTTCTTTTGCTACCTCAAACTCACTATGTTTACCAGGGGAGGCTGCTGCTTTGCGTTTTCCATTCAATATGCATTGAAAATAATCAGAAAGCAGCATAAATAAATATCTTGAAATGAATCCATAATCAACCAGCAAAATGACAGTCTTTCATCATCTGCAGCATCAACTAGCCATAATAAAATCCATTATTCTCAAAAGTAAGACAACTGTGTGAGGAAGGAACATGTATTTTTATTCTAACCTGCAAAGAAGAAGTTGTGAGACATTTAATGATGCCCTTTCAAGAACAATACACTTTTCACAGTACAATAACACTTTAACACACTATTTGCATAAAAGCTCACATCACGGAGACTTCCTGACCCCAAAAATTATTGTTGTGTTTTACATAACATATATCAAATCATGAAGACTTGTTCTGCAGCAAAAAGAAATTTAAGAAAGAATATTTGACTTTCAGGGGCAACAATTACTTCTGTCTAAAAAAAAATAAAAATAAAAATAAAAATAAAAATAAAAATAAAAATAAAAATAAAAAAACCACCAAACCTCGAAAATTGAGCTGTGCCTTTCAAAAAGGCAGAAGACAAAAAGCCTCAAATTTCCCATTCTCTTCTCTAGTGCCTGTATCTTCCACTCAAGACAGCTAACAAAGCCAATTCAGTATCTGCAGCCCAGAAGTACAGATGGGGCTATTTTACTAACCCTCAATATATTCTAGTAGGTCTGCTCTTCTCTCATTTATCAATACTATTTCCAAGGACAATATTTAAAAAGTATAGAAAAAACTTATTAGTTTGATTGATTTATTTTCTGATGTTTTACATCTTTAAAATTATTTTCCAGGTGAGTAAACACCTTATACAAAAAGTCAGCGAAGAATTCAAAAAAGCTTAATGGAAAAAAAACAAATTCCAGTCACAAACTTACTTCAGATTTAATTGTACATAATTAAATGATGTTAAAAATGCATTCAAGAGTATTCACACAGCACAAAAGAAATGTCTTCCCATAAGTAAATGTGAACTCTCCAGTTATAAATCTGTTGATTTTCTCCAGTTTGTGATTATAAAGGTTTCCTCCCCTCTACGTAGTGCAAAATCACAGGGAAAAGTCAACACTGCATTATTTCATCACTTCAATCAAGTGATTACTTGTGTATTTCCACAACAATGTTCTCAGGCTCTTATAACTTGATGTCCAATACATTCTATTTCAGATACTTACAAAGCTTATCTTGTGAATTCTTTCTCGTAGGGTATCCTGAATCAAGATCAGGGAAACCACCAACATTTTCAAAACACATCTTCTTATTAATATATAGGAAAAGTAGCAACATGAGGATAATGAATACCCCAACTGCAGACAGGAATCCAATTGCTTCAGGAGATACTAAAAGAAACAGAGAAGGACACATTATAAAAAACCAGTCTATTGTAAGTGCAACTTGCAGAAGTTTTTATATTTGTCAGAATTGGTTATTAGTAAATACTACTAACATTCAAAATACATATGATATAACTGAAATATCAGCTTTTCCGTTTCAGTACATATTTAACACTGTTGAATCTCAACAGCTTTTCTTCTTCTTCCAGTCATCTTTTCAAAGAACAGAAAATATGCAGACTTAGTAAGGGACAACTGACATTGTAAGAGCTTGCTAGAGGATCTGCAGCACTACTGGACCCCAGTAATAAGACTGGGCCTCTGCAGAAAATGAGGATATTGTTAGCATGTACCAAGCTGAAATTTTTTATGGAGCACTTGAGGAAGAGCAGCATACGGGATTCAAGAGCATTCCCTTTCCCTGGAAGGGGCTGGAGATTTGGAGACAGCACAATAGGATAAAAAAGGAAAATGAAAAAGGGAAGGGACTGTGTCCTTGCTGGTAAGGCCATTGCCTCTGCCAGCTTTGCTATATTCAGCTTCTGGCTCCTCCTTCCTTAAGAGCCAGCTGGACCTCATCACTCCCTGACAAACAGGATTCTATGGGAGCAAGAAAGCAGAAAGTAAAAAAAACACAAACAAACCAACCCAAAAACAAATCAACCACGTAACAGTATGTTCTTTAACATGGTACTTGTGCCACTTTATATAAAATGAGAAAGAGGTAAGGCAGATGGAGATAAAGCATACTTCATTGAAATAGGTAGTGGAATCAAGACTGAAGTTGACTGACACGTCTCACTGTATAAAATAAAAAATATGTAACCACGATGAAGCAGATAACTGAAAGAGACTTCAGGGCACCTTTTGCAGGGACAGAATCTTGCAAGTCCATCAGGACCTAAGTACATCAGTAACGACATAATGGCCAAGATTACTTAGGAAAATATTTTAGAAATACAAAATTTGGGAAAGGATGTACCAAATGGGACAAATGGGGACAAAAGTACTTAGGAGTAATCTGATTATTTGTAGGAGCCTTTTGCTAGTTAGAGAAGACTTATAAGGATTTATTAGGGTTATTAATTCCATTGGTGAAGTCCCTAGCATTTCATGTTAGGAGTGTGCCAACATCTTTCATTATATAGAAGGAGACAATATTAAAGAAAACTTACCAGCAGACTGTATTCACAGAGATGTACTGAAAAAGGACAAGTAGAAGAAACAAGGAAAGCTCTAGTTGGATATAGGATGGGGGAAAACCCGGAATAAGAGGTGTTCAGCACTGGACCAGATGCCCTCGACAGGTTACAGAACCTAACTTTAAAGTCAGTCCTGCTTTGAGTCAGAGGCTGAACTGCACGTGCCTTTCCCAGGAGTCTTCCAAATTAAATTACTCTCTGCATCTGCCTATGACCTTAGTAAATCTGAGCTTACTCATCTCTGCAAAAGTGCTGACTGAGAAACACAAACAGTTCCACCAGCCCCTCAGTTTTGACAGTGTTTGGCAGTGTCATTTGCAAGATGATAGGGACCATTTTTTATTGTCACGTTGTTTCTTTAAAAAACAACAGCAACAAAAACACAAAAACAAAAGATACAAAAAATGCACCTTTCACAATCTAAAATGAACTGGTCTGATTTGAACTTTGACTAAACTTTGAGCAGGACATCCAGGCCTATCTGAAACATTGGGGAAAAAAAAAAAAAAGAAAGAAATTTGCTATCTCTGATCAAAGGGATTGTGTAATATTGTGCTTAAATTCATTGCCTTTCTACTTAACAAATTCAGAAGAGAATGAACTTCCCAATAGTTTCAAAGAACCCAACTGGGCAAAATTTCTGAAAAAAATACCAAAATGTCAAGAAAAATAGTCCCAAAGGAATGAAGTAGAAACCCCGATTAAACTAAAACTCTATTAGTCAAACTCTATTTAGTCAAACTTCAGTAAGTGCTTTTCATGTTTTATTAGATTATATAAGAAGAGTTAGGAAAAACACGAGCAACTCTTAATTAAGTCGATTAAGTTGGGAACACTGTCTTGTGAAAAACTGAAGGCAAAGCTAGAAATGATTGGAAAGCTTTGAAATTTGACCTTCACCTTTCAAACCATTAAAGTCCAAGACAAACAAGAAATATAAGAAGAAAGGATGACTGCTGAATAGGAGTAGAGTAGAACAAACAAACAAACAGTGCAACAGGGGAGAGCGGGTGTGACATATTTACAATTTCAGATAGCATAACAGAAATAGAGATTTACAGAGCTACAAATTTCCCCATTAGTACTTCAAGATGAGACATTCTGCTATCACACAGAGCATCAAGGTGTAAAAGGTAGGATTCCAGTCCAGACCAGAGAGGAAAGAAGGCTATATTTATGTTTTCATTAATCTGAACAAATAGAGAAATACTTTGAGTTATGAAAGGTCTTGGTAGTACTTTCTATTTGGATCACCTGCTACTCTATTCAAAGATTGGAGTTATTACTTAATTAAAATCACTTGTTACAGCTTAAGTCAGTGGCAACTCTGCCTCAAACTGAAGGATTTTTCTTTTTGTTTAAGTTTCAAAAAATCACTGTGTTATAACCAAGAATGAGAAGAAAATAAGGACTTTTTAAAAAATAATAATTAAAAAAATACCCTAGTGTTCCCTGTTTGAGAGCAAGGTAAATTTGGCCCATGTCAGGCATCCTTTTATCATCTTCAAGAAGCTTTCCTAAATATGGAAAAGCTTTGAAATTTTGAAGAAAAACAAAAACAAAAAAAACCTCAGTTTGCTATCTTCCAGTTTTGCCTTTAAGTCTAACAGATAAAATCTCCCAAGATTGTGCTGGGAGGAAACGTGCTCCATTCCTTCCCAAGGCAGTATATGGATGACTGATAATGCCCAGGGTTGACAGAATGACATTCAATTTCTTTGAGTTACTGATTCTAACCCTTACAGGACTAGAGAGTGGGTTGAGAGCAGAGCACCTTTCTTCAGTAATTTCCAGTTCTAATATCTATCAAAGACAGAGGCAGACAGAGGAGGCTGCAATACACAAGAAACCAGGCACCAAAAGAAGTGAAAATTAAGCGAAAAGAGGCAATTAGGCGCAAGCTAATGAGGCCTAGCAGGAAAATAGAAGGTATGAGTTAAGGTTAGCATGGAGTGCACAGAAAAAGTTGGAAAGTGAAAAGTGAAAACAGACAGATCAGGTGGAAGAGAAAGATAAAGCAAATGAGACCACAGAAATTTATCCGTGAATACAACTGCTTTGTTACTGAAGCAGGTCGTTCTAAGCAACATTGTCCAAATTCAACACCAGAGATGCACCGAGCAGGAGACAACAGTAATCCAATAATTCCATGAGCCTATGACTCACAATAAAGGGCAAGGAAGGTTCTTCTTTAATTAGATTAACTGTTACCTTATTAGAAAAGTAGCTTGAAAACACAATGCTTTTTAATTTTTCTTGAGTGCTTCCTGGATACAAATTAGTTAAAAGGCAGTCTGTACACAAACTGTGTGGCTCTCTATGGAAACACTGTATCTGATGACATCTTTCTGGAGTGAAATAAAACAGTGGCTGATACTTTGTAAAAGGGAAAGGATGTAACTTTAGCTGCAGCTTCACTAACAGCGCATGTAAATCAGCATGAACATAAGACTTAAAAATTATGTTGTAGATTCAATTTGATTCCACATAAAGAATCTTTAAAATGCTTGTTCACAGATTAAATATATCATCAAGTCAAAGCCTTTACTATAATACCACATATAGCCAGAAAAATACCATTATGTAGCCAGGAAAAAAATTGTACTTCAATTTTCCACATATAAATGTGTACAGATTCTGTGAACAAATGTTTTTTATATATCACACTAACCCTTCAGTTAATTTCTCCCAATTGAAGTTACATTTCAACCAGTTATACTATGTAAATAGAAGAAAAAAATATATATGCTTCCATGCAAAATCCATCCATGCCACACTCATCACAGCAATTAGGCTGATCCAAAACACTTTGTGATCAATTCAAAATTGGTTTGGGCAATGACTGTAGAGTGAAAAGCATTCTTAAAATGCTCTGAGATTCCCCACAGTTTCTTTTAGAACCACATAGCAGCAGAAGGGCAATTCTTCATTCGTCATCTTTCACATTCAAATTTAAAAAACATCCTACTTTTTGGACTTCATAATCATCCTCAACTCTTAAGGAAAAACAGCAATGAATGTTTAAATTTATAACATAACAGAGCTTTACAAATGTGAAAGGAACAAATGTCATACTACAAAGCTATTAGGATTAATTGAATTGCTGGCTATGGAAATGACGTAAGTTATACTCATTGCAGAAGTATTAAATTAACTTTAATTTACTTTTGTTATTATCACTAGAATGATAATTATTAGAAAACAGAAACTTACCATGTCTTCATCCTAAATACTGAATTACTATCTCTTTCTCAAATAGAAAAATATTACCTGTCACTTAATGATTTTTCTTTAAAAAAAAAAAACAGTTTCAGACTCTTCAGAAAACATGAACATCTTCAAATAAATGTCATAGAACACCAGTAATAACCCTCAGATATACTAAAAAAGATGCAGGGTTATTACCACATATCTACATGCACTAACTTATACTATATTTAATATCTGTATTGTCCAGTCAGTTGTTTTCAGACCTCTCACTCCACATCATGCTGCTCACCTAGCGAGTGCAGCACAAAGCCAGAGATGTTTTAATTATTCATTTACAAATGCAATGCTATCCTTCCTATGCACAAATTAAAGTAACTAGGGGACGATGCAAAGAAATTCAACTGCCTTTGAGATTGTAGCACAAAAGCATTTGAAATGAAAAAAAGGTATGCTCATCTTTTATTTAGAAAGGCAGCAACCTACTAGAATTTAGCTAGCCTAGGCTAAACACAATCGTAGAGGGAAATACTTTACACAGTGTTGTGTTAGAAGACCTGGAATTCTTAACTATATGCACTGTTTTACAAACAGGAC